TCTCCCTAGTGTGTGTTAATAGTGGCACTCTCTCCCTAGTGTGTGTTAATAGTGGCACTCTCTCTCTCCCTAGTGTGTGTTGTGTGGCACCTCTCTCCCCAGTGTGTGTGTGAGTAGCTCTCCCCTAGTGTGTTTGTGGTGGCACTCTCTCCCTAGTGTGTGTTAATAGTGGCACTCTCTCTCTCCCCTAGTGTGTGTTAATAGTGGCACTCTCTCCCTAGTGTGTGTTAATAGTGGCACTCTCTCTCCCTAGTGTGTGTTAATAGTGGCACTCTCTCCCCTAGTGTGTGTTAATAGTGGCACTCTCTCTCCCTAGTGTGTGTTAATAGTGGCACTCTCTCCCCTAGTGTGTGTGTGTCTCTCTAGTGTGTGTATAGTGGCTCTCTCCCCTAGTGTGTGTTAATAGTGGCACTCTCTCCCTAGTGTGTGTGTGGCTCTCCCTAGTTGTGTAGTGGCACTCTCTCCCCTAGTGTGTGTGTAGTGCTCTCTCCCTAGTGTGTGTGTGGTAGCTCTCTCTCCCCCTAGTGTGTGTAATAGTGGCACTCTCTCCTAGTGTGTGTTGTGGTGGCACTCTCTCCCCTAGTGTGTGTTATAGTGGCACTCTCTCCCTAGTGTGTGTTATAGTGGCACTCTCTCTCTCCTAGTGTGTGTTAATAGTGGCACCTCTCTCCCTAGTGTGTGTGTTGTGGCACTCTCTCTCCCTAGTGTGTGTGTAAGTAGCACTCTCTCTCTCCCTAGTGTGTGTTAATAGTGGCACTCTCTCTCTCCCTAGTGTGTGTATAGTGGCACTCTCTCTCCCTAGTGTGTGTTATAGTGGCACTCTCTCCCCTAGTGTGTGTTAATAGTGGCACTCTCTCTCCCTAGTGTGTGTTATAGTGGCACTCTCTCTCTCCCTAGTGTGTGTGTTGTAGTGGCACTCTCTCTCTCCCTAGTGTGTGTGTAGTGGCACTCTCTCTCTCCCTAGTGTGTGTGTAGTGGCACTCTCTCCCTAGTGTGTGTTGTGATGGCACTCTCTCTCTCCCTAGTGTGTGTGTTATAGTGGCACTCTCTCTCTCCCCTAGTGTGTGTGTGGCTCTCTCTCTAGTGTGTGTGTGTGCACTCTCTCTCTGTGTGTTTGCTCTCCTAGTGTGTGTTGCACTCTCTAGTGTGTGTTAATAGTGGCACTCTCTCTCCCTAGTTTGTGTTAATAGTGGCACTCTCTCCCCTAGTGTGTGTTAATAGTGGCCTCTCTCTCCCCTAGTGTGGTAATAGTGGCACTCTCTCTCTCCCTAGTGTGTGTTATGGTAGCCTCTCTCTCCCTAGTGTGTGTGTTAATGGTGGCACTCTCTCCCCCTAGTGTGTGTGTTGTAGTGGCACTCTCTCCCCTAGTGTGTGTGTAGTGGCACTCTCTCCCTAGTGTGTGTTAATAGTGGCACTCTCTCCCCTAGTGTGTGTGTGGTGGCACTCTCTCTAGTGTGTGTGTTGCACTCTCTCCCTAGTGTGTGTTATGGTGGCACTCTCTCTCCCTAGTGTGTGTTAATAGTGGCACTCTCTCTCTCCCTAGTGTGTGTTATGTGGCTCTCTCTCTCCCTAGTGTGTGTAGTGGCACTCTCTCTCTCCCTGTGTGTTTGTAAGTGGCACTCTCTCTCCTAGTGTGTGTTGTAGTGGCACTCTCTCTCTAGTGTGTGTTGTAGTGGCACTCTCTCCCCTAGTGTGTGTTATAGTGGCACTCTCTCTCCTAGTGTGTGTGTGGTGGCACTCTCTCTCCCTAGTGTGTGTGTAGTGGCACTCTCCTAGTGTGTGTATAGTGGCACTCTCTCTCTCCCTAGTGTGTGTTAATAGTGGCACTCTCTCTCCCTAGTGTGTGTTATAGTGGCACTCTCTCTCTCCCTAGTGTGTGTTATAGTGGCACTCTCTCTCTCCCTAGTGTGTGTGTGGTAGCTCTCTCCCCTAGTGTGTGTTAATAAGTGGCACTCTCTCTCCCTAGTGTGTGTTAATAGTGGCACTCTCTTCCCCTAGTGTGTGTTATATTGGCACTCTCTCTCTCCCTAGTGTGTGTTATAGTGGCACCCTCTCTCCCTAGTGTGTGTTAATAGTGGCACTCTCCCTAGTGTGTGTGGTAACTCTCTCTCTCTAGTGTGTGTTGTGGCACTCTCTCCTAGTGTGTGTTAATAGTGGCACTCTCTCAGATAGTGTGCGTTAATAGTGGCACTCTCTCCTAGTGTGTGTTAATAGTGGCACTCTCTCTCTCCCTAGTGTGTGTTAATAGTGGCACTCTCTCTCCCTAGTGTGTGTGTAGTGCACTCTCTCCCCTAGTGTGTGTTAATAGTGGCACTCTCCCTAGTGTGTGTTAATAGTGGCACTCTCTCCCCTAGTGTGTGTTAATAGTGGCACTCTCCCTAGTGTGTGTTAATAGTGGCACTCTCTCTCCCTAGTGTGTGTTAATAGTGGCACTCTCTCTAGTGTGTGTTAATAGTGGCCTCTCTCCCCTAGTGTGTGTTATGGTGGCACTCTCTCCCTAGTGTGTGTTAATGGCACTCTCTCCCTAGTGTGTGTGTGTGTGCCCCTCTCTCCCCTAGTGTGTGTTAATAGTGGCACTCTCTCCCTAGTGTGTGTTAGTGGCACTCTCTCTCTCCCCTAGTGTGTATGTGGCACTCTCTCTCCCTAGTGTGTGTGTGGCACTCTCTCTCCCTAGTGTGTGTAGTGGCACTCTCTCTCTCCCTAGTGTGTGTATGTGGCACTCTCTCTAGTGTGTGTTAAGTGGCACTCTCTCTCTCAGTGTGTGTTAATAGTGCCACTCTCCCTAGTGTGTGTTAATAGTGGCACTCTCTCTCCCTAGTGTGTGTTAATAGTGGCACTCTCTCTCCCTAGTGTGTGTTAATAGTGGCACTCTCCCTAGTGTGTGTGTGGTGGCACTCTCTCTCTCCCTAGTGTGTGTGTAAGTGGCACTCTCTCTCCCCCTAGTGTGTGTGTAGTGGCACTCTCTCCCTAGTGTGTTAATAGTGGCACTCTCTCTCCCCTAGTGTGTGTTAAGTAGCACTCTCTCCCTAGTGTGTGTTAATAGTAGCACTCTCTCTCCCCTAGTGTGTGTTAATAGTGGCTCTCTCCCTAGTGTGTGTGTGGTACTCTCTCTCCCCTAGTGTGTGTGTGTAGGCCTCTCTCCTAGTGTGTGTTAATAGTGGCACTCTCTCTCCCCTAGTGTGTGTTAATAGTGGCACCTCTCTCTCTCCCTAGTGTGTGTTAATAGTGGCACTCTCTCCCTAGTGTGTGTTAATAGTGGCACTCTCTCCCTAGTGTGTGTAGTGGCACTCTCTCCCCTAGTGTGTGTGTGTGGTGGCACTCTCTCTCCCTAGTGTGTGTGTAGTGGCACTCTCTCTCCCTAGTGTGTGTGTAGTGGCACTCTCCCTAGTGTGTGTGTTATGTGGCACTCCTCTCTCCCTAGTGTGTGTTTAAGTGGCACTCTCTCTCCCAGTGTGTGTGTAGTGGCACTCTCTCCCTAGTGTGTGTAGTGGCACTCTCCCTAGTGTGTGTGTAAGTGGCACTCTCTCCATTTGTTAGTGGCACTCTCTCCCCTAGTGTGTGTTAATAGTGGCACTCTCTCCCTAGTGTGTGTAATAGTGGCACTCTCTCCCTAGTGTGTGTGTAGTGGCACTCTCTCCCCTAGTGTGTGTTAATAGTGGCACTCTCTCTCCCTAGTGTGTGTTAGTGGCACTCTCTCTCCCCCTAGTGTGTGTTAATAGTGGCACTCTCTCCCCCTAGTGTGTGTTAATAGTGGCACTCTCTCCCCCTAGTGTGTGTTAATAGTGGCACTCTCTCCCATACTGTGCGGAAATCAATGGTGCCTGGACCGGAGAGTTGCATTATCAGGGGGTGATAGTGGTGGTGGTCGTAGAGGATAATGATGGTGGTAGTAGTGATGATGGTAGTAGTAGTGGTGGTGATAGTGGTAGTAGTAGTGGTGGTGATAGTAGCAGTGGTGATGGTGGTTGTGGTGATGGTGGTAGTGGTGATGGTGGTGATGGTGGTAGTAGTAGTGGTGGTGGTGATAGTATGGTGGTGATGGTGGTAGTGGTGATGGTGGTAGTGGTGACGGTGGTAGTGGTGATGGTGGTAGTGGTGATGGTGGTAGTGGTGATGGTGGTAGCAGTGGTGATGGTGGTAGTGGTGATGGTGGTGATAGTGAGGGAAGCTAAGAGTTATATATTAGTATACAGGGAAACGGCTTCGTCATGATCCAGCAGGAGAGGAATGATACACGTCTGTCCTTGTGTGTGTATGTGTGTGTGTGTGTGCAAAATGTCCCACGCTACCACCCACACACCAAACCAACCAACACCACCCACCAGCCCCCACCCACGCCACCCATTAACTCAACTTAACCTATCCTAAACCAACCTAAACTAATTTATCCTAAACCTAACCTAATATAACCTAACTTGACCTAACCTAACTACAGGGTCACCTCATAAACAACAAGGTTAAACTCTCATGAGATTCATGTTAGGTCAAAAGAAGCCCCAGGGTTCGCATACTGACCTCGCTTCCGGGTGTCAGAATTACAGAGAGAGAGAGAGAGAGAGAGAGAGAGAGAGAGAGAGAGCTATGTGTGTACAGTGGATGATAATAGAATGTCTATATGTGCCCAGGTGTAAATATTACTTGCATTGGTTATAAAGGTAAATATAATACATTAATTACAGGTAAACACACATTCTTTATCAATGGGGCTGACTCGTGTATAATATGTAATAAATTAGTAACTCTTACCTCTCAGGCAGTACACAGAGGAGGCCACTTCTGGTCACTTTCAGGAGTCGTTCACCTCTGATGCTGTTTCCCAGGTAGCTCGTCCCCTACTGGAGGCAGGTGAGGAGTGAGGTGATGGCGTATGAGGGGCGAGGAGCGGTGTGGTGGTTGACTGGTGTGGCGGGGGCGGATAGTTGACACTCCAACATTTCCTCGCTACTCCAAGTCTCGTGAGTACAACAGCTTGATTTTTTTCCTCTCTCTCGTTTTTTCTGTCTAAAATAACCTGTGGGTGATTAAGTGAATTTAAAAACCTCCATTAATAAAACACCAAAACACTGAGATAACTATGATATATGGTAACTCAACGCGTGTTATCATATTTTACAATCAAAATAATGTCACTCTAACTTCCCCTCCCCTCACTATGGATGTAAACAAGTCGACAATCAATAACAAACGTCACGACAAGTATCTGAACGAGTGCCCTGGATATGAATTTCACCCTACATCCTCCTAACTAAATTCGATCTAACTCATATCCATAGTTAATTCAAGGCTCCTTCTTCCCCTCCTCATCCTCCTCCTCCTCATCCTTCTCCTCCTCCTAATCCTTCTCCTCCTCCTCCTCATCCTTCTCCTCCTCCTAATCCTTCTCCTCCTCCTCCTACTCCTGCAGCCTCCTCCTATTAATCCTAGTTGACTGATCGACCTACTGCAGCAGCCTTGGGGAACATGGTAATGAGGTCCTTAAATCGTATACACCGTGACCTTCAGAGACACATCTTTCAGTATAGGATCAAGTCGCTAAGTATGTGAAAGTGGCCAGTGAGAACCTCGAAAGTTGGCGTCCCACTGAGAAATATCAAGCTAATATTAAGTGGTATTTGGGTTAGGTTAGGTTAGGTTGGGTTAGGTTAGGCTAGGTTAAGTTAGGTTAGGTTCATAATCACGACTCCTGACGAACTATGAACCAACGAATAGTGGGTGAATCATTACAGTTACTACAGGTTACAGTTTACTTTATACTGGTAAATCAGTATACAGTACAGTTTAGTTTCTAGAGGTAAATCAGTACACAGCCTCGATTCATATTGTATTTTGAGTCAATATTGTCATGACGGTCGACCAGGTATGAAAATTCACAGGTTAACGATCTCTAAGTAGGTCACAACTCTACCAGGTAATGGTTGGGTTTGGTTAGGTTAGGTTAGGTATCGTAATGTTATTGTCTAATCTCAGGTAAACACAAAACAAACACAAGTAATAATCTAATCATAAATTTTGATTAGAATAAATTATTCGGGGGTGGGGTGGGGGAGGGGGGGGAGCGAATTAAGATATTTCTTTTAACAATATCAATTAAACTAAAAAAAATAATTAAACATAAAATGGAATTAAAACATTGTAATTATGACCATCACCCCACTCTTGACCTGTGTGTGTGTGTGTGTGTGTTACAGGCACAAGGGCAGGGCGAGTCAACAAGGGCCGGGCGGTATAAGGGCCGGGTGGTACAAGGGCCGGATGATACAAGAGTCGGATGGTATAAGGGCTAGGGGGTACGAGGGCCGGGGGTGTCAACAAGGGCCGGATGGTACAAAAGCCGGGCGAATCTACAAGGGCCGGGTGGTACGAAGGCCGGATGATACAAGGGCCGGGTGGTACGAAGGCCGGGTGGTACAAGGGCCGGGTGAGTCAACATGGGTTACATCTTGTGCACAAGGGAAGACCTCCAGACCATCTCATAAATTCTGCACCTGGACGAACATATTGAAGGCCCTGTGTGTGTGTGTGTGTGTGTGTACGTACTGTTGAACCGATATGAGCGTGTATGAGGATCTTACTGAATAAAATCTCTCTTTTCTATCTATCTATCTATCTATCTATAGAAAACTGTTAAGATAGAAGAGGAGCATTTCCTACGGCAGGTGTGTCAATTAACCTAAAATTACCTGTATTTCTCTAATTGAAGTGACGTATTAGTTAAGTTTACAACCTTACATTTTTTTATTTAAGGTGTGCAATCGTCTCTACACTGGCTACTACTACTACTACTACTACTACTACTACTACTACTACTACACCTTCCTCAGTGAGTGTAGGGGGTAACTGTGTCGCTCCTGTCGCCCCCTCTTCAACACCCATCCCACTCCCTATCCCCTCTCTCCCACCTCCCACTCCACCTTCCGTCTCTCTCTCAAAGACAACAGAGACGCATCGAGGACGATCATTTTTATCAGCAATCTTGAATAATAACAAAATTTACTCATGAATTTATCGCGTATTTTATTTCTCTTCTCTCTGCCTCTAAGGTCGAAGCTGACACGTAAACATTGCACACACAGGTTGAATTTCCTGCATTGTTGATATGTTTCTGTTAATTGTTGCAACACAGAACAGTCAAGACAACACACATCACTCGAGTCACTGTTCCACCTCGCGTGCCGCTTGTTCTGGGATCGAAATATAATAGCTTAATTAACCTTATATTTGTCACTTTTCATATACACAGGTACGCGAAGGTTAATTAGTTTCACTTGTAACACGTCTGTAGGTTCTGTATGTTAATTGTTCACTCAGGTGTCAATGTTGATTTTTCTCTGTACAAAGGACCTTGGTCACACAGCCACACCACAGCGCCACAGCTACAGGGTTTCAGTAAGACTTCACTAAACCTACAACCCACTTCTGTGTTCTCGTAGCGAAATCACGGGGCTCACCTCCTCACCAAAACGTTGTCTAAGGTGCTTCTGACGGAGGAGGAGGCAAGCACCCAAGTGACCGCAGCAAGACGCACAACCCGGGACGGAGAAGGGGAAGAAGAAGGAGGAGAAGAAGGAAGAGGAGAAAGGAGAGATTACGAGTACCGACGGCGCTTAGCTAGGAGTGTCACGTGCTCCAGCAGATTGAGGGTCACCACCACACTGCTGCTCCTCAACACTCCTGCCAGCCGCCCCACAAGTTTTAAAGCAAGACAGTTCTTCCACAGTCCGCTAACCAGACGCTTAAACTACGCCGCCGACAGTCCACCAGACAGGGCGCTGTCACCTTCAACAAGTAGACTACAACGCCGTCCATCCTCTACAACTCATTAGATGAGAAATGAAGATCTCTAGTTCATGTTATCGCCCCAAGACAAATATAAATCCCCGGCTGGAAATGCCGTGATCGTGCGTCGGCAGCGGTTGTGTTATTGATTCGACGAGAGCGCTTCAGCTGGTGGGACCGAGGGAGGGAGGGCGAAGGGAGAGAAGGAGAGGTAGAGGAGCAGGAGGAGGTAGGTGTGCGTGCGTGAGTACACTTTCGCCTTGCTAGGGTGTATGTGTGTGTGAGTCTTACAGGAGTTACCAAAGATGGGGTAATGCGCGTTATCACTCGCATCCCACATTCTAAATTTTCAAGCATTAGGTCCTGCATGAAGACTCGCCCAACACCACTTAAGTGAGTACGCCGCGCAACACACACACAGAGGCCGATAAAAACAGCTTGAACCTACGTGACTGAGTTAGTTTATGTGTGTGTGTGTGTGTGTGTGTGTGTGTGTCGTGGTTGAGACCCGCATCTGATCTGTTTCTTCCTTTAACCTGACAACAAACTGCCAAGTAGGTGACAAAGACTGTTGAGTATCACGATGCTACAGTGTGTTACTCTGTGTTTGTTTGTTCGCCCAGCTGACACATAAGCAGTTTGTCCTGTTCCATCAATCATTCAAGGTCACCTCAAACAACCCAGTACTCTTAATGAGGCTAGGTCAAAGATCAAAGGTCATAATAAATATTTTAGTTTCTGATTTAAGGTTAGGTTAGGTTAGGTTAGGTTAGGTTAGGTTAGGTTACATCCCAGCCCGCCTCTGTGGTCGTCTTATATCGACTGTATACCCAGGAAGGTCTTTTAAATTCGGGAGATCAAGGAGTCAGAGGTCAAGAGGTCAGGAGGTGAAAAGGTCAAGAGAGGTCAGGGGGTCGGGAGAGGTGATGAGTTGCCGGTCGACTTAAGACAAATTTATCTCAGTTTTTTTCAGATAATGTCCAGACAATCTGCACGGGAAAGATTTCTGGGTCACACACACACACACACACACACACACATACACAGAGCGGCATGATACAGGCCGACAGGATAGCACAGGCCAGCAGGATAGCACGGACCGGCAGGGTAGCACAAGCCAGCAGGATAGCACAGGCCAACAAGATAGTACAGGACGGCAGGATAGTACAGGTCACGCGTACAACCAGAAAACAGGAATCAATGAGAACTAATACCTGATTCTGGGAGACCCACTGTATACCGGCCGTCTGGCACTCCTGACCTAGTTAGACAAAGTGGCCCTCACAACCTAACCCAATATGACAAATTTGCACTGTGGCACCCTAACCCAATATTGTAAAATGGCACTGGCACCCAAACATGGCACACCTGACTGATGGCTGTTTACGACTCAGATACCCGGAATAACGAATCAATAAGATACATCGAGACGCTAAAATAATAAATGAGAGAGAGAGAGAGAGAGTGTGTGTGTGTGTGTGCACTGTTTTGTTTCCACCTGTGTACTGTATGGCAAAAAACATATGTTACGAGTTGGGGATTTAGAATATAGTTAAGAGTCTACCCAGATCCCAACAGGCAACAACAACAAAAAAACAAAGACAATCGGACTATAAAAGGGTAGATAAAGGATGAGAGTTTTTGTTGTGTATAATAAAGTACCATAAATTCCTTAACAAAATAATCAGCTTTCTATAATTTACCCTTAACCATACTTAACCTAAACATTAACAGTATATACATATTTATACAACATACAACAATTTTGAAGCAAGGTGGAGGTGGGGAGGCAATATAAGATTACAAATACTTAAGTGATACCTAATACTTAAGTGCGGAGCTGAGATGGCTGACGAGTAAGGCTGAGTATTGTAGAAGACGGTAGGTAGTCACTGTGCCGTAGGTTTCCAGTATAGGTGATCCTGTGGTCACTTCCCAGAGTGAAGTGAACTCTCATCGAACTGGAGCTGACGAAGAAGACTTGTAGGAGGTGACGCAACAACCAGGATATGGAGAAGGGAAACCCCGGAGTGATAACTAAGACGAGTCATACTCGTGTTTCGTCCCTAGATGGCGTTGCTCGTGGTGCTGGGTAGGTAGATCAGGACAATAGATGGCGTTGCTCGTGGTGCTGGGTAGGTAGATCAGGACAATAGATGGCGTTGCTCGTGGTGCTGGGTAGGTAGATCATGACAATTGGTGGCGTGGTTCGTAACACATACGACATTTTTTACGATAGATGTAATTACAGAAAACTTACGGTACTTTTTACGATACATCTAAGTTGTCGTTACGGTCGAAAATTCCATGAAAAACAAGAAAATCACCCAATTATCCCCATTGACTCAATATAATTAAACTAATTCGTTTTAAAACTTATCTAACTTATTTACAACTTAGGTGTCGTAATGGAAGAAGTTTACAAACACTGTAAACTACTACTCGAGGCCATGAAGCCACTCTCATGTATACCAGAGGGAGCGAGAGAAGAGAGAGAAGGAGGAGGAGGAGGAGGAGGAGGTAAAGGAGGAAGACAATAGGAAAACGAAAAACAGGAGACTTAACAGAGAGAGGAAGAAGAAGAAGAAAGAAGACTACAAGATTACAACACAATCAACAACAACAACAACAACAACAACAACAATAATAATAATAATAATAATAATAATAATAAAAATAATAATAATATTAATAATAATAATACAATTAATAATAAGAATTAAAATACGGTGATTACAAAATAACAATATCAGTAAGAACAACAACGTAAACAATAGATAAAACACAATGACGTCAACACTATAACCAATATTTAGTGATTCGTCATAATTCATCCATGGTCACTAACTCCGGCTTATGTTGATACAAAAAATTTACTATTGTGTATTCAAAGACGTAAAGTTCCTCTGATAATCCCCTTACTGTTTGGCATTGTTTGTATACCTACACTGTCTAGGTATACATTGGAAACACTATACCCCCCCCCCCCATAGTCTTTGTACACTGTAACACTGTATAATGTATATACTTGCATTGCCTATATACTGTACATGCCAAACCAATTGTAAACTTGTATTATTGATTGTTATTATTATTATTATTATTATTATTATTATTATTATTATTATTATTATCTTAACAGTCTAACCCCAGAGACAACTATTTCTAACATAAATACATTTGATAGCTGGGGTTCTGATAGATATATAGATACTCATTAAAATCGTAATATTACTCCACATGAAAATCCCTTGTGTGTTATACTGCCAGATCTGGGGTCACTAAATCTAAGGGGATAACTTAACTCTAATCTTAATTCTTAAGGGTCGCTGCCACCAGACCCCCTCTGGACAGCATGTAGCTCGTTAGGTAGCGGGCAGAGCGGACTAGGCATTGGGTTAGGTTTTCCATTGATCAGATCGATAAGGGTAAAGAAGGGTGAAACCATAACATGTCTTCATTGATTTATTTCTTATAAAACACACTGGTAAAAAAAACATACATGAATTGGCCTTCCTCAGAAGAACAACGGAATTTTGGTTACCCAACTGGGCCCCAGACTCCTACATTACTGGCGGGTCATCCACCCACTTATTGCACAACAATCGGTGAACGCCGTATCTCGGTCGTTCCTTCTTACAATATCCCTTAACACATCAGACTGTTCCACTGGTGTGGCTTGTAGCACCGTCGGTTATCATACCTAGTAGCACCATCGCAACACACCTGTTACACTCCATACCTGCAAGTATGTGACTCCTTGTGACTTTTGGGTATACACAACGGGCACCTCGTTCGCACACCGCCCTCGGTGGGTAGAGACGAGGGCTTCACCTAGAGACATACCAGCACTATTTCTACGCCTGGTATTATAGGTCGCTCCAAGTGACGACCGCAGTTTCTCACGGTTTCCTTAGTTGTGACTATTCATGTGGAGTGGTGCGCTGGGAATCCACCGGTTCATAGTGGACTGGTATAGTGGGGAGTAATTCCCCACCTGGTGTGGCGCTCCAGGAGACAATGGCGGTCGGGCGGCAAGATACCCCAACCACGTGGCACCTGTGTTGACGGCAGAACGGGAAAGACTAAGCAATAATGCCTGACGGGCGGTTATCCCATCCCTTAACACATCCCTATCACACTTATATATCCGGCAAAGCTTTAAACTGTAGTCACTGTTATTTATCAACCTTAATTGTAGGGCGGGATATAGCCCGCTAGGACACTGACCTGTGTTGACGGCAGAACGGGAAAGACTAAGGCCGGCTTCCCGCCGCTTCTCGTCACATAGGCCTACAGTTTCCAATCCTCAATTTACATTTTTGTTTCTTATGGTTCTCCCCTGAACACTTTACGGTATATTGTCACTCATTTCTTATAAACACATATATTAATCCTAACTTATACACTAAGGTCAGGTCTTGGTTTGCTAGTGCTTGGTTAAATGCCTGGGATTTTAATATCAACGGGCATCTGAGGCGGGTACATGACGCGCCTTGAAACAAAAGCCGAATGATCATGGCGGGGGTGTATCAACTTCACTTAAAAACTGTAATGAGGGATCCTCCTCTCACACAGTGCACTATTTGAACACAGACCTCAGATTCTCTGATCACTGTACCTGTCGTGGGTATACGTCACGTGAGGCTACGAGGTGTATTAAATTCATACCGACGCATACACGATATTTCCTTTCCAGTATAGTTTCTATATCACTGTCAACACCTCACATAGTTCTGATACATTTATCCCTTTTTCCCGATCATTGTTCTCATGTATTTTCATATGATATCTGTTGGAGTTAGGTTCGCTACACGCTCACAGACGTAAATAGTAGGACCTTCAAACCCTGCTCCACACTTAGTCTTACAGTACCCTAGTCCGGCTCAACTGGACTTTAACATTCATCTTATGCCTACCCTGAGTGATCCTTAATGCTATGAATACATACACTTGACATGATATAATTATACCTGGGTACCATACCACACATGGTCTAGGAACCTTGAGTAGGGGAGTTGTCCTTTCTCAATGTTTCCCGTTTTCTGGGGTTCTACAAGCGCTGTGCATTTGAATGTTATGTAGCGTAATATGAATTAGATGGGATTTTTAGGGATGACAATGATGTGCGCAGTACAGTGTGTGTGTGTGTGTGTGTGTGTGTGTGTGTGTGTGTGTGTGTGTGTGTGTGTGTGTGTGTGTGTGTGTGTGTGTATGTGTTAAGAAGAATCAAATAAGCTAATTTGAAGAAATGTAATGCTTATACCACAAGTTAAATTAGACTCTACTGTAGCTCACAACTCCATGTTTATAAACAACCACAAACAAACAAACATCATGAAAGCTAAGTAAAAAAAATAAGATATATTTTCTCTAACAACAAGAAAGAGATAGAGACTAGAGAGATAGAACCTAAAGGAAACGCTATTAATGAAATGTTAATATACTCGCATTTATCTTTAACTGTCATCAAGGTGGAGGATTCTGACATTAGGCGTTACTACTGACAGGTTAGAGGAATTGTGACGGAAGGGGAAAGGGTGCGACATCCTCCGTCCAGCGTCCAGAGAATATCAAAGTCCTCCTTCAATCCTTCAATAGTTTTCTGTGTTGAGGCTATTTTTATGGGTAACTTAAGAAGAAAAGCGCTAATTCACATTTGTCTTTTATATTGGATAAAATAGAAAGTCTAGCTACTGTTAATGATTGATAATGAGAAAATAACAATAACAAATGATCAACAGCATACTATGTAACAATCACGAGAGAATAACAGTAACGAATGAACAATAACACACTACGTAACACAATCACCTGAGAGAATAACAATAACAAGTGAACAAAAATACACATTTCCCAACACAATCCCTTGGTGGCCTTATAATAAACTAGTGTAAATGTATAAATTATAATAATATATATAATCTAATATTTACCACCAAAGATAAAAAGTTAAGAATATACAAAGCCATTTTAATTGTAAGCTGTGAGGGAGAGAGGACGATTAAAACTATGGAAAATCATATTATCTACATAAACAACATAAGTTTACTATTACTAATGAAAAAATGATAATATATTTATTTTATTCTTACGTAAACAAGTAGAAACAATAAACTGCTACTGTGTAAACAACTGCAACGCATGTGTGTGTGTGTGTGTGTGGACGACAGTAGACTGCCAAAGCGGCAACTTTACAGTCACCTAACGTAAACGCAACGCTGGCGGGCGACTGAAAAGGTATAAGGATAGCCTTAAGACAAGCCTGAAAAAGTGCCAAATCGACCCCCGTCACCCGGGAGACGATTACTCCACACCGTAACGCTTGGAGGATCACCATACAAGAAGGTGTCAATACCTTCGAGGTAGCCCGACTGCATAACGAGGCAGACAAGCTCCAACGCCGGAAAGACACTGCCGCCACCCCTCCCGCACTAGATGTAGCCCCCCACATGTGCAACATCTGTGAACGACCCTGCCTGTCCCGTATCTGCCTCATTAGTCACCTCAGAGCTCACCAAAGTAGGTGACATCCTTAATAGCTCATACCATCGTATCATAGCTGGATGATCGTCATACTCGATTCCGAGTGACATCGAAGTAGTAGTAGACTCGCAGAGGTGATCTCCGAACAGAAGCAGCAGCCCAGAAGTTATGTTACAGCCTGGATGAGATGTCGACTGTCCTTCTCTCTCCTTCGGTCGGCTTTGCTCTGCCTCAGGAGAACGAGAGCTTCGGCTCCAAAGCCGAACAACAGCTGCAGATATTGACTATGAGGCTACAGTCACTGAATGCCGCATAGATCTGCGGCTCAACTAACTCAACACAGCTATAGGATAGCTACTCATGTATTAGAATATTTAATATTAAGGTAATAAAATGGCGGCGAAGGTGTGGCTATTGGGGGAGGCTGGAGGCCAGATTTAAAAAAAAGTAGTAGTAGTAGTAGTAGTAGTAGTAGTGTGTGTGTGTGTGTGTGTGTGTGTGTGTGTTATTCTCCCTTTCAACTGTTCTCTCTTCATCGTACTCAAGGGGATAAATCGTACTCCTCTAGTTTTTAAGTCATCGTACTCAAGGGGTCAATATATTATGAGAGAGGTTAAATAAACCTATTCAAGAGGTCAAACCATCATACTCAAGGGGATAGGTCAAGGTACTCATGCTTATAAGTCGCACTCAAATAGGTTAAGGGATAGTTGCAATAGCACCTATATACCCTCCAATAGTCTTGAACCTCCAACTCGACTCTGTGATCTGAGGAGAAGGTGAAGGAAAAGAGAAGGAAGAGAAAGAAGGAAAGAAGATGAAGTTAAATATACGTATCTAAATTAAGGAAAAGTCTCAGAATAATTACCATGGCATTGCTACTTGCCCTTCATACATAAACTAAAGATAAACATACGCATAACTTCTGAGAAATCAAGTCACGTAAAGTTAAAACGAACACCCGAGTATTTTTTCTTCTTTTATCCTGTAGCAGTAGACGACGGTATAACAACTCAGCTCACTATATTCGGGGATACTGACAGGAGATACTTAACCACAGGATATTGACTCAACTAGAGAAATAAACTTTAACGTTACTTCAGCTATTTCTCAAAGAAGGTTTAGTTTTGTATAAGGAAACTATGTGTTACTGAGAATATAAAGGCTATAACTACTACTTCAGTGTACCAGTGTGTGGGGTGAGTCAGTGGAGAGACCTTTTCTGGTATCAACATACAGTATACATATTAACCAAGGCAGCAGAAATTATCCCTGAACATCCCCCTGTCCAGTTTATCTCACCTCATGATGAAACACCTTATAGCGCTACCAGGGGTTATGAGTTTGGGTTACGTTATGTTGAATGAGGTTAGATTGGGTTATATTAGGTTGAGACGAGTTACGTTAGGTATGAGCAACGTCGAGAGACTCGCGCTCAGACTGCGGGCCATAAGCATTGAGCCTTTCATCTCAGTGTCGCTCTGTCGGCGGGGAAGAGAGGTTGTGAACAGAGGAGCGCTTAAGTAGTCAATCAGCTCACAAGGCCAGGTAAGAGGAGGATGACTTTCATGTTATAGCTGTCCAAACTTTACAAAAAATATTCCCAATGGTCTTATTTACTTTTTACATTTGTTCACAAGTCATAATCAACAGGTCACAGGTTACGGTGTCTCAGGATGTCAAACCCACAGACCATCACCATGTTAGGTCATGAACATGTTTATCGTAGATTTAAATTAAAGGTGGACTTAAATTAATTAATTAGCAATCATTTTTTTTTAATTACAACTGTGCAATCTCGGTTAAGTTAGGTTACAATTACGTTTGGTTGTTAAATCATTACATGAAATAAACTGAATGGGGAGCTAATCTTCAGGTGATCCCATAAATCTTGTCTCCATCAGTCAAAGTAACGTCTTCACATATGAGGGTTGGTGACCACGGCCCTCCGCTCCCAACCGTTTCCGGGCTGTTTTAACCAATTCCCCGAAGTCTTGCATCTCTCTGGGGACCCGGTTTTTAATTTAATTCATCCATCCCGGTACATGAATTAAACGCAGTGAATCATCATGTGTAGACGTGATGGAGATGATGATGGTGAGTGGGGGGTGATAGTGGTGAGTGGGGAGGGATGGTGGTGAGTGGGGGATGGTGGTGAGTGGGGGGATGGTGGTGAGGGGATGGTGGTGGGGGGATGGTGGTGAGGAGGGGTGATGGTGGTAAGTGAGGGGGATGGTGGTTAGTGAGGGGGATGGTGGTAGTGAGGGGATGGTGGTGAGTGAGTGGGATGGTGGTAAGTGAGGGGTGGTGGTGAGTGAGTGGGATGGTGGTGAGTGGGGTTCATCTAAGCAGCATTCACCCTCATTATCTTTGACTATCATAAATATTTACACTATATTACACCCCTGAGTCATTTATTCCCCAGCTCCTCCCTAGCTCTTCCTAGCCCTCCCCAGCTCATCATTAGCCCTCCTCAGCGCCCCCCTAGCCCTCTCCAGCTCCCCCACAATCCATCACCCAACTCTCCTCCCTAACCTTCAATCAACCCAGCAACCAGTCTCCTCACATTCCTCACCATTTCCCTCCCGTCCTCTCACCATCTCCCACTACCTCTTTTTTTTTTTAGAGAGAGAGAAAGGAAAGGTGAATGAAGATTAAAGGTGGGGGAAGGAAGTTATAGTTCGGAAATTGAAGAAATTTAGGAGGAGGTAAGAGAGGGCGGGCTGACTGCCTAGCTAAGCTAATAGTGTGTTAGGGTTGTGTCATGGGTTAGTTATTGTCTGTCGGTACAGGCACTAGACATCCTACCCTGTCCCACATATGGGTGTTTTAAGGGCCTTATTTCATATTCCGCCGACCCTACTGGCGGGTGCTGGTCTGAGGAGGTTGTCTATTGTCTGGCCGTATAGATCGGGGGTGGTAATGGACCTTTTGAGATTTGGTAAATTTTTGGGAACCATGTATGGTTGTTGTCGCTATCTGGTGGGAGTCTTTGAAGGAGTTCTTGCTCTGATCGTTCTATCTTTTGCCAGATTCTCCTGACCAGGGTGTGCAGCTGCTGGTTGATGGGTTTTATTCTCAGGTCTCTATGTATCTCGGCTGTGGTTCTGGTGAAGGGATATCATTCACCTGTGACGAATCTTAGGGATTCATTTTGGACCACCTGTAATTTTAATATTTGAGAGGTGCTCATAGTATGAAGAGGTATTGCTGGGTAATTTAATAACGGTGCGATAAATGATGTCACCAGGCGGAGTTTTATTATCTCAGGAAGCGCTTTAAAGCGGTATAGTTTTCTCAGCTCTCTTCTTGCCTTTTCCTTCCTGGTGTGGACATGATGGGAGTAACCCGTCGTGGATATATGCAGGCCCAGGAGGGTGCCTCTGCTTTTGTATTCTATCTGGGCATTATTGGTTACTAATGGATGGGTTTTCCTTCTGCATAAGGGTATTACTGTGAATTTCGGGAGACTGGTTTGGATTTTCCATTGTTTTTCGTAATTATTTACCCTTTCTAATTCCCGCCTGGTGTTGTCGACCTGTAACGCTCGTGATTTTCCTTGATGTGTTGTTATTTGAGTGATGTCGTCTGCATACATAATATGTTCGTTACCTATTCTAGTGGGAGGCGGGGTGTCACTTGTAGATAATATATAGGGTGGGGGAGAGGACGCTCCCTTAAGGGACTCCGATCATGAGTGGGAAGGTCTCCTGTGTGTTGTCCTACCCCCAGTCTGGCATTTCTGCCGTCAAGAAAGTTGTCAAGCAACTTTTCAATGTTGGTGGGAAGTCCGAGTTGGAGGATCTTATATTTAGACCGCCATGCCAGACTCTCCCACCCCCCCACCCACAACCTCCTCCGTCCTCTCACCCCCACCCCACAGCCTCCTCCGTCCTCTCACCCCCCCCACCCACAACCTCCTCCATCCTCTCACCCCCCCACCCCACAACCTCCTCCCGTCCTCTCACCCCCCCACCCACAACCTCCTCCCGTCCTCTCACCCCACCCACAACCTCCTCCGTCCTCCTCACCCCCACCCACAACCTCCTCCGTCCTCTCACCCCCACCCACAACCTCCTCCCGTCCTCTCCCACCCCCCACCCACAACCTCCTCCCGTCCTCTCACCCCCCCCACAACCTCCTCCCCGTCCTCTCACCCACCCCCCTAACCTCCTCCCGTCCTCCCACCCCCCCACCCCAACCTCCTCCCGTCCTCTCACCCCCACCCACAACCTCCTCATCCTCCTACCCCCCCACCCCAACCTCCTCCCGTCCTCCTCACCCCACCCACAACCTCCTCCCGTCCTCCTCACCCCCACCCACAACCTCCTCCCGTCACTCTCACCCCCCCCACCCACAACCTCCTCCAATCCTCCTCACCCCCCCCCACCCAGCCTCCTCCCGTCCTCTCACCCCACCCACAACCTCCTCGTCCTCCTCACCCCCCCCCACCCACAACCTCCTCCCGTCCTCCTCCCCCACCCACAACCTCCTCCCGTCCTCTCACCCCCCACCACCCACAACCTCCTCCCGTCCTCTCCTCCCCCACCCACAGCCTCCTCCCGTGTCCTCTCCTCCCCCACCCCAACCTCCTCCCCGTCCTCTCACCCCCCCACCCACAACCTCCTCCCCGTCCTCTCACCCCCCACCCACAACCTCCCCCCGTCCTCTCACCCCCACCCCACAACCTCCTCCCGTCCTCTCACCCCACCCACAACCTCCCTCCCGTCCTCTCACCTCCCACCCCTGACTTCCTCCTCCCGTCCTCTCACCCCCCACCCACAACCTCCTCCCGTCCTCTCCTCCCCACCCCAACCTCCTCCCGTCCCTCCCACCCCACCCACAACCTCCTCCCGTCCTCTCACCCCCCCACCCAACCTCCTCCCGTCCTCTTCCCCCCCACCCACAACCTCCTCCGTCCTCTCCCCCCCCACCCACAACCTCCTCCCGTCTCTCCCCCCCACCCACAACCTCCTCCCGTCCTCTCACCCCCCCACCCACAACCTCCTCCCGTCCTCTCACCCCCCACCCCAGCCTCCTCCGTCCTCTCCCCCCACCCACAACCCCTCCTCCCGTCCCTCTCCCCTCCACCCACAACCTCCTCCGTCCTCCTCACCCCCACCCCTGGCCTCTCCCAATCCTCCCCCCCCCACCCACAACCTCCTCCCGTCCTCCCCCCACCCACAACCTCCTCCGTCCTCTCCCCCCCCCACCCACAACCTCCTCCCGTCCTCTCACCCCCCCACCCCCAACCACCTCCCGTCCCTCTCACCCCCCACCCCCAACCCCCTCCTCCCGTTCTCTCACCTCCCACCCCCCAACCTCCTCCATCCTCTCACCCCCCACCCACAACCTCCTCCCGTCCTCTCCTCCCCACCCCAACCTCCTCCCGTCCTCTCACCCCCACCCCAACCTCCTCCCGTCCTCTCACCCCCACCCCAACCTCCTCCCGTCCTCTTCCCCCCCACCCCCAACAACTCCCTCCAATCCTCTCCCCCCACCCACAGCCCTCCTCCCGTCTCCTCTCACCCCCCCCACCCACAACCTCCTCCCGTCCCTCTCACCCCCCACCCACAACATCCTCCCCGTCCTCTCTTACCCCCACCACAACCTCTCCGTCCTCTCCACACCCACAACCTCCTCCGTCCTCTCCCCTCACCCACAACCTCCTCCGTCCTCTCACCCCCCACCCACAACCTCCTCCCCGTCCTCTCCCCCCACCCACAACCTCCTCCCGTCCTCCCCCACCCACAACCTCCTCGTCCTCTCCCCCCCACCACAACCTCCTCCCGTCCTCCCTCTCCCCCACCTAACCTCCTCCCGTCCTCTCCCCCCACCCACAACCTCCTCCATCCTCCTCACCCCCCCACCCCTGACCTCCTCCCGTCCTCTCACCCCCCCACCCCTGCCTCCTCCCGTCCTCTCACCCCCCACCCACAACCTCCTCCCGTCCTCCACCCCACCACAACCTCCTCCCGTCCCTCTCACCCCACCCACAACCTCCCCGTCCTCTCCCCCCCCACCCCAACCTCCCGTCCTCTCACCCCCCCCACCCACAACCTCCTCCCGTCCTCCCCCCACCCACAACCTCCCCGTCCTCTCACCCCCACCTAACCTCCTCCGTCCTCTCACCCCCACCCCAACCTCCTCCCGTCCTCTCACCCCCCACCACAACCTCCTCCCGTCCTCCCCCCACCAACACCACCCACTACCTCCTCCGTCCTCCCCCCCCCACCAACACCACCACTACCTCCCGACGCCATGGCTAATTTGACTGGACGGCAGACCTTAATTCGATGAGGCAGCCAGACAAGGACGCATATTTTCCACCAGATTATAATGTGCCGAAGCTTGGTTCTAAAAGTATATGGTGTAACATGACATGCGCTAGATCGTATCGGTGATGCGTGTGAGATGATTTGAGAGCTGTTTAGTTGTTTCAGAGACTTAAAAGTGGAGAGATAGTTGAGACTGTGTGTGTGTGTGTGTGTGTGTGTGTGTGTATTAAGGGTGTGGCTGTGTGGGAGGGGGATATGAAGTGTGTGTGTGTGTGGTTTTTACAAAGGTTAATAGTGTGCATCATCTCACTGTACATTATAAGAGATCATTATGTCATCTCTGAGACTGGATCATCTGTCTCGGGGCAACAGGGACTTATATATCACGTTACATCCCGAGAGTGAAATTAGCTGAACGGATTAAGCGAGATGAAGTGTTGGTCTCACTTAAGTGTTACATCTCAAAACCTCGGTCGTAAGAGAATTCAGTCTCCTTTTACGCTTATGACTCTCCTCTATGTCGTGGTCGTATCTCATTCGGGTTGGGTACAGTTTCGAACAGGAGTGAGATAAAGGGGATGCTGACGAGGCTATTACTAAGCTGAGGCGAGAGTACAGGTTCTATAATGCTGCATGGACTGGGGGCGCGAGAATGGGTACACTTATGCTTCACCCTAAACAGCCCCCTTCCCTCCTGCCACCCCGCCCAGCCCTCCTCCCGTCTATTAACAAAAAAGACCCCTCCTCCCTTCCTCTCTCTACCTCCCCCCTCACGTCTATTAACAAAAAGACCCCCTCCTCCCCTTCCTCTCTCCCTCCCTCCCCTCCACGTCTATTAACAAAGAGCCCCCCCTCCTCCCTCCCTCCCTCCTCCTTCCCCCTACAATCACAAACTATTCTTACGTTCCATAAACCAATACAAGACAAGCGCACGTTCTCCTGTAACAGAGACTCATGAACGTGTGACTGTGAGTTGGAAGGAAGTGAGCAAGTGCCTGACGATAGTGATTGCTCATACTGACGCAGTTTTTATGGCGCACCTTCAGGTATGTTGGGTGTGGACTTGAGTTGGGCTGAGTAATATTTTTTGTTCCTGAGGTAAACCTTTTGCACATGATGATTTTAACTGAATACCTGTTTGCCTGTCTGTCTGTCTGTCTGTCTGTCTGTCTGTTTGTCTGCATGTCTGTGTCTCTGTCTGTCTCTCTGTCTACTAGAATAAGAACTAAACCTCTCTCTCTCTCTCTCTCTCTCTCTCTCTCTCTCTCTCTCTCTCTCTCTCTCAGTAGTTGACCCCCGCACCCTAATCTTCTGACCTTTGACATCCTTTTCCTAGAATTCACCCCCCACCCCCCCCACCTTCCCTTTGCTATCATTTATGAAACAAACAACAACGGCCACAATACACTGTCCTGATGCCCTTTGGTACCCCGCTTGTCACGGGTACAGCCTGAACCACAAAATGGGATAAAACTCTCCTTAATACCTAAGATCTTCGGGTACTTACATGCCAAATACTGTCAAATATTCAAGACTTTTGACCCCAACAGTACCATATGACGCTTTCTTGCCATTAGTCACCACACTCAGCTTGAGGTTATGAAAAAACCCTCCCCCGACTCCCGTATTCTTCGTTTAATTCTCCGCCCGTGTTAGCAGTCCTTTGCTATATATAGGTTGTTTCGTATTAGATGTTCTCAAGTACTTAACACACTATGCTAGTCACAACTCCCCGGCCTGTGATTATTCGTGCAAAGGCGATCTCCCTGTTCGAATATATAGGACTCATAGATTTAATTTTCCGGTCGCTAGGGACCTTTTTATACAAGTCTTTTTATATAAATTTTTCCCTCGGCGTCCACAGGAAAGAATACGAACAATCTCCCCTTGTCTGAGATAAAAAGATTTGACGCAGCACTGACGCACATTGAGTAAGTCCGAGGTTGGTATCACTCTGCCCCTGATTGTGTGCATCCCAGTGTAGAATCTAGGAAAAAGAAGTCACAGAAAAAGTAAGAGAAAAGGGCAAGAGAAAAAGTCACAGAAAAGAGTCACGGGAAAAAAGTCGCAGGAAAAAAGTCACAGAAAAAGGTAAGAGAAAAAGTCACAGAAAAGAGTCACGGGAAAAAAGTCGCAGGAAAAAAAGTGACAGAGCCTAACCAAACCTCTTAACCTAAACTAAACTAACTTAAGCTAAACTAACCTAACCTAACTTGTTTTATTACTTTAATTGTTAATGATATTTAAATAAAATATGATTTTTTTTCTTGTGACTTTATTTTCGTTCTGACCTTCACCTGTGTTCTCGCCCCCAACCTTGTCCAGTGTAAGATAGATGTGTGAATCCTGTATCCGTCATATGTGTGTGTGTGTGTGTGTGTGTGTGGAAGGAAGGGTGTATGTTTGTGAGGGAGGGATAGAGGGAGGGAGTGAGGGAAGGAAGGAAGGAAGGAAGGAAGGAAGGAAGAAAGGAAGGAAGGAAGGAAGGAAGGAAGGAAGGAAGGAAGGAAGGAAGGAAGGAAGGGAAGGGGGGAGGGAAGGGGTCAGGAACCTACCGACTTTAAACAGTGAGAGAGTGAGGGAGAGAAAGTTTATACCTGGCTGGACGTAAACCACACCACATTCAGTGACCACACAGACGCACACACACACACCTGCGTCGACGAGTCTTCCAACACACAGTCATTCTTTCCCTCACACCAAGACATTCATTACTTGATACACAAATACATAGAAAATATTAATGTTAACCTACTCGTGTTTGTGTGTTTGTGTGTGTAGTATTACTCAGCAACAGATGGTGGTGACGAAACCTGAAAAAAACAAAGCATATTTGACGTGGAAAGAGAAGATGTTGTGATGTGAAACAGATGGAACAAGAGGCCTTTAGTGTTGTGATGTTGTACTAGTAGTTCGGCACACGTGTCAGTGAGTCAGTGGTTCGGGTCAATCAACAAGTGTGTCAACGATACCCTTCAAGACTTTCTCCCTTTGTGTTACTTAACTGAAGAAATAAGGTTTGTCAGCCTCTTTGTGTATATGTGTGTGTGTGTGTGTGTGTGTGTGTGTAATAATAATAATAATAATAATAATAATTAACGGTTTATTGAAAGAGCTTGGCAGCCAGAAGGCTGAAAATATACAGTTACATATTTGGGGAATGGGTTACGAATTACAAATAATATACAAGTAACATAAGTGATACAAATAAGACATATAGTAACTTAGATGGGGATCAGCTCAAACTACAGTTCATTTCAACATAGTGACAGTGTAAGGAGCAGTGTTTACCGGGAGTGAATACACTGATTTATTACAAGTTATTGATAATTTTTACAATGGTTGGGACTGGGCTGTTCTTATAGCGATCAGTTCGTGCACGTATGGGCTGGATGCGGTTGTGGTGTCGAACAGCAATTCTCGGACAAGGGATCTCAGGTGGTAGTAGGAGCCGGTGTCGGGGATGGTGTAGAAGCTTCTTACCAAATTTGCAGATGAGGTCGTGGTGATGGTCAGTGAGAGTCGAAAGAGTCAGTGTGTTGAGCGCTTCTTGATATGTGGAGTAGGAAGGGGAGAGAATAATCTTGCATGCCCTCTTTGCACTTTTCTAGAGTGTTTCGTTTGTGTGTGGCATTTAGGGAGGAAGACCGAATGGGGGAGGCATAAATGACTTGGGAAATATGAATGTTGTGTAAACACTGAGGAGCTCGTGTGCAGGAACTCCGAGGACGGAGTCGGCGGAGGGAGGTGGGGGGCTCTTGGAGAGTTGACAACTTCACTGACGTGTGGTTTTCCAATTTAGTTTGTTGTCTATGGTGACGCCGAGGAGCTTCGTGGAATCTACAACCTGGAGTGTGTTCCGGACCTAGAGTAATGGAGGAGGTAGGGACAATGTCGGAGGAGAGGTTGATGTGCATGTAACCATGAAGATGTGGTATGGTTGATGGTGACATGGTTGTTGGTGGCCCAGTTTTGGAGACTGTTCAATAAATCCTGAAGGGCGGTATAGTTGGGAGCAGAATTGTTGACGCTGATCCCAATGGTGGAGTCGTCGACATATTTCCAGCGAGCAGGGGTTTCTCTTAGGGCATCATTGATGAGCATAAGGAAGCAGAGTGGTCCCATCTTAATAATTATAATAATAATAATAATAATAATTGACGGTTTATTGAAAAAGTTCTGCAGCCCGAAGGCTGAAAATATACATTGGACATAAATGACTTATTACATACATTGGTGGTTTAACAAAAGCCTTCGTTAGAGAAAGGTAAAGGAACATACAGTGAACAAACAGATTAATGTAGGTGTTGAACAGCAAAAACGTAGTGTAGTAACTCCCTCCCAGATGGTGTTAGGAGGGACCTCACGTGGTGTAGTAGTTCCCTCACAGATATGGTGTTATGAGAGACCTCCACGTGGTGTAGTAATTCCCTCACAGATGGTGTGTGTGTGTGTGTGTGTGTGTGTGTGTGTGTGTGCGTGTGTGTGTGTGTGTGTGTGTGTGTGTGTGTGTGTGTGTGTGTGTGCGTGCATGCGTGTGCGTGTGTGTGTGTGTGTGTGTGTGTGTGTGTGTGCGTGCGTGCGTGCGTGCGATATGCGATGCGTGTGTGTGTGTGTGTGTGTGTGTGTGTGTGTGTGTGTGTGTGTGTGTGTGTGTGTGTGTGTGTGTGTGTGTCGCCCACTCACTATAGCGACCTTGAGTGCCACACATTCCTTTACACACCCTTCTAGTTAGTTGATTGTGCCTCATACATCATTCATTATACACACTTGCCAAGTATATTTACCATACACCTTATAAGGCTACCATGTTTATTTTATTAATACGTCCTATACAACTGTACCATACACATCTACTATACTCTCTTACCACGCTTCTTCGTTGTTATTACAGATCTAAGTCAGGTTGGGAGAATACTGATCCTGATGAAATTACTTTAATGCGCTTATTACTACAAAGTGCTCTAGACAAACCAATATCCCTCGTATGAGCGGTTATAGTATACACCATGCACATACAACCACCATGTTGCTTCACCATACTGAATTTGATGCCCGTACACACACACACACACACATACACACACATACAGCTAGTTTATTGGGCACCTCCTTACATCTTGCACAAGGCAAAGCTCAACAACATCACAGCGCCCAACAGGAAAAACAATTCGTGTTTATGCTCGTCTTCTCAAAAACGAATGCTGGGAGAGTGTGACTGAGGGGGGCCAGTGGTTGTGTGAATTGAATATAGTGAAAGAAGGACAAGTGAACAGAAGTATATAGGTCGCCCCTGTACAAGTGTGTCTCTTTATAGCATAGCGTTTTAGGCATCTGATAATGTCAAGTGCCACCAGACCGTGTTTAACCACTTATGTACGGGGGCCTCTCTCTGTGCTGAATAAAATCGTCTAGCGTTAGCCAAATAAAATAATAAAAGTGGCATCCTGGTAGTGAAAGGATTAGGGGAGATAGTCTATTAGGGGAGAAAGTCTACTGACGGGGAAGTGGGTCGTGTTTTGGGTACGAGTGAGGTTTATATGTCCTTCTAGTGTGTTGCTTCAGTGGCAAGATGATCAACAGTCTGGGACAACAGATCGTATGTGTGTGATGGAACCTGAAGGAATTTGACAGGGATGTTGCGTGTTGTATCTACCCTGATGACGACAGTAAGGGTGTGTTGAGTGTGTTAAGTGTATTGAGTGTTGTTAAGTATATTGAGTGACAGGTAGGAGAAGGAGGGACTATGATGTACAGGGTGTCTCAGAAACATATATATATACAACTACCTTTTAGATGTTCATAGAGATCATGAAGACGACAAAATTTACTTTACCCCCCATCAACATTGTCCTCACTTGTGGCAGACCTCATACATCAACAAGTGAGGAAAATGTTGATGTAATAAAAACATTGAGAGACCCTTACTGTATAAAAACAAACAATGTATGATAAAGGATAATAACCAACGTGTTTACATTTTGAGTATAGTGAAGTTCTCATGTTGCAGCGCCGTCATGACTACAACAACAACAACACCTACAAC